GTAGTAGTAGTAGTAGTAGTAGTAGTAGTAGTAGTAGTAGAGTAGTTGTAGTAGTAGTTGTAGTAGTAGTTGTAGTAGTAGTAGTAGTTAGTAGTAGTAGTAGTAGTAGTAGTAGTAGTAGTAGTAGTAGTAGTAGTAGCTAGTAGTAGTAGTAGTAGTAGTAGTAGCAGCAGTAGTAGTAGTAGTAGTCGTAGTAGTAGTAGTAGTAGTAGTAGTAGTAGTAGTAGTAGTAGTAGTAGTAGTAGGGGTAGTAGTGGTGGTGGCAGTAGTAGTAGAAACAGCGGTAGTCGTAGTAGCGGTGATAGTAGTTAGTAGTAGTAGAGTAGTTAGTAGTAGTAGTGGTAGTAGTAGTAGTATAGTAGTAGTAGTAGTGTGGTGGTGGTGGGTGGTGGGGTGGTGGTGAGGGTAGTGGTTAGGGCAGTGGTAGTGGGGTAGTAATAGTAGTAGTAGGCAGTAGCAGTAGTAGTAGTAGGAGTAGTAGTAGTAGTTAGTAGTAGTAGTAGTAGTAGTAGTGGTAGTGGTAGTGGTAGTAGTAGTAGTAGTAGTAGTAGTAGTAGTAGTAGTAGTAGTAGTAGTAGTAGTACTAGTACTAGTACTAGTAGTAGTAGTCGTAGTAGTAGTAGTAGTAGTAGTAGTAGTAGTAGTAATAGGAGGAGGAGAAGGAGGAGGAGGAGGAGGAGGAGGAGGAGCAGGAGGAAGAGGAGGGACGTTGTTTCTCCCCGGCGAGAGAAACAGGAAGGGGGATCAAAACTAAAGACCGTTGGAGGTTACCTACAGTCGGCCCGGACCAGTATGTCGACCCTGCCAAAACAAAGGTACCCTCGTGTCCCGTGTCTCGCGACCCGTGCCTCTTGCATTCCTGTGGCGACGTGGCCCTCGGAAGGGTCTTGTGCCCTCCCGCGTGGCCTGCCCAATCGAGTCCGACTGCACTTACAACGACCGATGGGCCCTCTCCCGACGTCGGCCCTGCTCGCGGGGGCGAGGGCGGGGAGCGCCAGGGGCCGTCAGAGGGCTGCTGGGGGGGGCCCCTCCAGGATCTCAGTCAGGAAGGCACAGAAACACACACAGAAACGATTCCTCGTTGGTTTTCATGAGAATGTGGGAAACTGTGGTTTGTGGGGGGAAGGCAAAAACCCAGAAGATGTGACAAATATTTGGAATCCTGTTCTTTGTGTTCGTTTATTTGTGTCCCTGGGCCCCTTCACTCAGACACGGCCGAAACCGGTGTGCTTCCGCGCAGCGCCGACCGCAGCACTTCAACTTACAACCCTGAGGAGTTATTTTGAATTTTACGAATTCGAAGATTGACCCCTTGTTGCCCACGGGCCTTGGGCGGTCTTCTCGGCGGTCGTCGGCGGTCTTCGGCTGTCTTCTGGCCGTCTTCGGCGGTCTTCGGCGATCTTCTGCGGTCTTCTGACGGTCTTCCGACAGTCTTCGGCGGTTCTCGTCGGTTTCCGACGGTTTTCGGCGCGAAAGCTGGACGGTTGCGGTTAACAAGGGGTTCAGAATCGAACACCTAGCGTTTTCTTGAGCAGCAGTCCAGGTCCAGATCTACGAACACTCCGCGAAACAAGACGCTCCAAGAGAACGCCCAGGGTCCAGTCTGGACCTTGGATTCTCTCACGCGGAAGCTGGAGTCCATGAGCACTGATGCCGTTTCCGAGGATGTCTGGTGGGTGTGCTAGCAGATCGGCTGACATTTCGTCCAGCGCGCGGGTCCGTGAGCCCCCGCCTGATGCGACGGGCCCGTTTTCGGTGCCAGCGAAGGTTGGCGGCGCGCACACGGGAGTGGAGTGGAGGGGGGAGGGCTTCTCGGAAGGAGGCTGCTTCTCAGAAGGCGGCGGCCTTTTACATCCATGGATAGGGCCCGCGCCTCCTGAGAAGCAGGGGTGCTTCTGAGAAGCCCTCCCCCCCTCCCCCCCCCCCCGCCCCCCTTGCGCGTGCCAGCGGAGGCGCGCCCCAGGCATCCTGCGCTCCGCGGGCGCCGGCCGTCGTCAGGAGTGCTCTGCAGGAGCCCGGTGGCCTCGGGCATCCGCCGACGTGCGGGCGGTACCTCGCACACCACACCTTCGTCGACGCGCCGGCCTGCGGCGTCACACCCGCAGGGCAGCCGATGCCATCTCTCCGCCCCCGCTTTGGAGGCCTGGATCCCCAGAGATCCAACGCATTGAAAAATCAAGACGGATGCTTTTCCGAATTTTCGGCCTCTAGGGCCCCTCGCCGGGCCCCGGGGCCGTCAAAAAACGGCTCAGGGCGAAAAACCGGTCCTGGGGAATGGGTCGAGACTTCCTGGGACCGCGCATGGAACAAATCACGGCATCGGATCTCTGGGAATGGGCACCAACACCAACACAGGGGGTCGCCTCCACAGGGGGAAGCTCGATCCTGGATTTCGGTGCTGGTTGTAAGATTTCGGCCACTTGGGGAGCCAGAACTAGCTATTACCACCATCGCCAAGATCGGGATGTTTTCCCTCGGTGGAAGCAGGCCGCCGATATCGGTGTTGGTGTCAACCTCTGGGCCTGCGACCGCTCACTTGAGCAAGCAGCGACGGCAGCACACGTCGCGATACACACAGCTCTGAACGTGCAGCCCCCCTGGATCGCCGGAAGGACGTCCTGCAGCCTCGCCACTGGGCGGCCAGTGCCGCACCTCGGCGCCTCCAAGCGGCAAGAGCCCGCCAGAGGACTCGCGAGAACAACCTGACCCGCCTGGCCAGGCCGGGGGCTGCGCACAGACAGCCCCCCCCCGCAGAGGCTGGCCGTGCTGGCCTCGACGCGCCTCCAACGTACAGTGGACGCAGTCGAGAGGAGAGCTTGCCAAAAGAGCAGCCGGGCACCGTCGTGGTCGAGGCTTGAGCCTCCTGAGGTGCTCCTGGGCTGCTGTGAGCCCCCGGGGCCCTTTGGGGGATCAGAAACTTCCGCGGGACACCGGCTGGCGGGCCGAGTTGTGGTTTGACGTGTCTACTGTAATCCCAGACCCCCGACGCCATAATTTTTTCACGACGTCGAACCCCAGAGGCATCGACCTCTTCCCCGGGACCGGCTTCTCATCCCGAGTCGCGCTTTGACGGTCCCGCGAGGCCCCTTGATGAGTGCCCCCCCGAGACCGACAGTACAGAAACATCTCCCGCCGTGAGCTTTTCGTGACCCGCGGGGGTCTGGGATCTGGGGGGTCGGGTGGTCCTCAGCACTTCCGGGCGAAAGCCAACGCGGGCGAAAGCCAACCCGGGCGAAAACCAACCCTGCGAAAGCAAACATGGGCGAAACGAACCAGGCGCGAAACGAACCGGGCGAAAACCGACCCGGGCGAAAACCAACCCGGGCGAAAAACATCTACGCCCTGGAATCTTCGGGCCGGGCGAAAGGGGGGGGGGTTGAGATCAGCTCACGTCGCTGATTTTCCTGGCGCCTCCCGGCGCTGGGAGGGGCCCGCCTCGGTGGGGCTGAAACCGGCTGCCTGCAGCAGATTTCGTTTAACCCCCCTTTCCCTATCCCCCCCTTTCGTCCAGCCCGACAAGAAGAGGCGGCCCAAGGACGGGCCAGGAGGCCTTCGTTTTAGGTCGGGCATGTCCTCCTACTACAGGCTGATTTGGAACGAAACACAAAACATAGTCAGAACATGCACCCGAACTGGTCAAGAACAGCCAGACAAATCGCCCCCGGAGCATTTTTAAACTATTTTTGAATGTTCCGGCTGGCCCGACCTGTGGGAGCGGCCAAGAGGGGGGTGTCCAAGAGGGGGGGGGGGTGCAAATCATGACGGGAGGCATGTGCGCGGCCCAGCAGGGGGGCCAGGGACGTAATGAAGCAAGAAGAAGCGCCATGAAACCTTGAGAAATCTCATGGCCCGCGCCATGAGATCACCCCCCCCCTAGTCACCACACCCCTCATTTGCCGCCCCCGAGACCTTCAGCACCTCCCAGCCTCCGGGGCGGACAAAGCGCGCGCGGGAGGCGGCGCGCGGGAGGCGCCGACACCGCGGGGCGAGCCTGCCGAGAGGGCCGCCGGAGGGCTGCCTCTCGCGGGGCCCCCCTCGAGGGGGGCTGCCTGCGCTCGCCCGAGGCCGGGCCAGGGCCAGCGGCAGCGGGGGGGCTCCGTCAGGCCCGCGCGTGCGGCTCCAGCTCCGGGGCGGGGCGCTCCTCGAGGGCCCCCCTGGAAGCAGGGGGCTCTCTATTAGAGGCCTGGAGCCCCAGAGATCCAACGCATTGAACAACATCAAGACGGAAGTTCTTCTCAACTTTCGGCCTCTAGGGCCCCTCGTCGGGCCCCGGGGCCGTCAAAAAACGGCGCAAGACGAAAAACCGGTCCCGGGGAATGGGTCGAGACTTCCAGGGACCGCGCATTGAAAAAATCACGACATCGGATCTCTGGGAATGGGCACCAACACCAACACAGGGGGTCGCCTCCACATGGGGAAGCTCGATCCTGGATTCCGGCGCTGGTGGTAATGTTTCGGCCACTTGGGGAGCCAGGATTCATTCTTACCACCATCGCCGAGATCGGGATCTTCTTCCCTCGGTGGAGGCACATCGCCGTTATTGGTGTTGGTGTCAACCTCTAGGCCTGCGAGCTTTGATAAACCGTGGCGTCGGCACGCCCGAGACAGCTGCAGTCGTGGGCCGGAGCAATCTCTGCACGCTTCGTTCTCCCCGGGTGGAAGGGTCAAAATGTCCTGGTTTGCACTACCCTGCTTTGGGGGGGGCCCTGCGCTCCCACGTCGTGGTGCCCCCGGGATCGGCCTCGTGCCAGAAGTACGAGCGGCCCGTGGCGGGATCCTCGGCCTGGAGCCAGCCGGGAGGCAAGGGCGCGCCGGCGGGGAGTAGCCTCTCGCGGTACTCCTGGACGTAGCCGGCGGTGGTGCTGGTCCGCCGCAGGCCAGCGGCGTCCAGCTCCGCCAGGTGCGAGCAGAAGCGCGCGGCGTCGGCGTCCGCCAGTGCGACACGCAGGAGCTGGTCGTAGAAGAAGGCATCCGGTTGCACGGATGCCTGCCTCATCTCGCCCGCCAGAGCCTCCAGGCGCTGCGCGGCGTCGGGCCCCTCGTGGCAGGTGGCCAGGCTGGTGTACGCGATGTTGTCGGGCACCATGCCCCTGCGGCGGAGCTGGTCGAAGAAGTCGATGGCCGTGGCGTGGTCCTTGCTGCGCGCGCAGGACACCACGGCGCTCGTCACGTGCCCCACGTTCAGCTCCACGCGCTGAGCGTCCATGCGCGCCAGTAGCTCGCCCGCCAACTCCTTGTCGCCGGCCTTGCCGCACGCTCTCAGCGCCACTCCGAACTCCACCTGGCCGAGCCGGAAGCCGGCGGCCTCGATGTCCTCGAGCACCCGGGCTGCGGCCGAGCTGTCGTGCACGGAGCCGTAGCCGACCATGAGGGCCGTGAACGTGGCGGCGTCGGGCCTCAGCCCAGACTGCTTCAGCTCCTCGAACAGCTGCTCCGCCTCCTGGATGCGCCGCAGGCGCCCGAGCAGCGCCAGCAGGGTCGTGTACGCCACTACGGTCTTCGTGCCCATCTCTTCGAAGAGAGCCCTCGCCTGCTCGGCACCATGAGACCCCAGCCCCCCCCCATGCCGACCCCGGGCCCTGGGCCTCATCGGCGCCGTTGGCCTGCACGGAGCCCGATGGACACTGCATCTGACCCGACCTCGGGGGGGTCAGGTCGGCCAGCGGTGACACGGCTTGCTCGACGATGAGGATGCAGGATTCCCCCGACACCCAGTGGCCTTCGGGTCCCAACTCGGCCCTGCGGCGGCCATTCGCGACGATCTGCACGCCTCTCGGCGAGGCGCAGCTGCCAGAGACCCTGACATCCACCGATCCCAACCGATTCCCCAAGGACAGGTTTCGTTCCGCCACGGCCTCCACAGGAGGCCGAAATCGAGGGAAACAACGCCCAGGATTGAACAAGCCATATCGTTGGAGATCTGGCGAGCACTCCGAGGCGAAAGAACCTGCGAGGGCCAACGAACGCTCCCAAAAGCCTCACGACGCGAGGATGTGGTACACCGGTGCGTCGCGACGCGACGCGGGTAGGTTTCTCAGGACCCCTAAAGCTTTCGACGCGAGAGCGCGCTCTACCGACGCTGGCCTGCGGCAGCTTCCAGGCCTTGCAGCACGCGTCCAGCGCCGCCGTGCGCACAAAGGGATCTGGGTCCGCCACCTCCGCGAGGCGCGCCAGGGCCTCCTCCCACCTGAATGGCAACGTTAGGGGAAGACGGGCAAGACGGGCTCTGGGGTGGTAGGATAAGGAGGAGGAGGAGGAGGAGGAGAAGGAGGAGGAGGAGGAGGAGGACGAGGAGGAGGAGGAGGAGGAGGGGGAGGATGAGGAGGAGGATGAGAAGGAGGAGGAGGAGGAGGAGGAGAGGAGGAGGAGGAGGAGGAGGAGGAGGAGGAGGAGGAGGAGGGGGAGGAGCAGGAGGCCAGTCAGGAGGGGGGCTGGAGGCAGAGAGGGGCTGGCGGAGGGCCGGCTGCATGGGGGAGGCCGCGGGGGCGATGGGGCCGAGCAGGTGGCGAGGTGGGGGGAGCAGCCACCTGGGCAGCGAGAAAGAGAGGGGTCGCACGCGAGATGACAGAGCGACCCTGCGCGGTAGCCTCCCCGGGCCGCCGGCTCCTTGCGCGACGCGCCAATGTCGGTGACGGCGGCCCGTTTTTGCCGCGTCGCCCGCCTGGAAGCGGCGGCGCACCGCCGAGAGGTCGGCGATGGGCCGCCGACGGCGCACCCGCACCCGGCGAGTGGTGTTGGGCCCCCTTGTGAGCGGCAGAAGGACTCCAGGGCAAGTGGCAGAGCCGAGCCTCGAAGTCACAGGACGGCGTACTTCTGGCCTCGTCGGGCCCCTGCCGGCGATCCGTGGGCGATGGGGCGGTGGTATTGGGGCCCCCTGTGAGCGGCAGAAGGGTTCCAGGGCAAGTAGAGCGGACCCTCGAAGTCATAGGACGGCGTATTTTTTGCCTCGTCGGGCCCCTGCCGGCGATCCGTGGGCGATGGGGCGGTGGTGTTGGGCCCCTTGTGAGTGGTGGAAGGATTCCAGGGTAAGCGGTAGAACGGACCCTCGAAGTCATAGGACGGCGTACTTTTAGCCTTGCTCGGGCCCCTGCCGGCGATCCGTGGGCGACGGGGCGCGTCGAGGCGCCCGCCCCTCGGCTGCACGCAAGAGCGACCCTGGGTAAGAGTGACCTCTGGTTCGCGGCCTTTTGAAGGCCGCGGGGGGGGCCAACCACAAGCGCGCAAGGCGCTGCTATAGCATCGCGCTCGGCGATCGGGGGACTCACCTGTGCCCGCACCAAAGGTCACTGTGGCGAAGGGTCACTCTTACGTGCAGATGACCCTTCTCCTCCCGAGCCTGACCCCGCCCCCCTGGCCTTGCCCCCGGACCACCGCCCCTGGCGGCCCAGGCGCTTCAGGTCCGACAGGGCGCGCCGCTGCGCGGGGTCCTCCCATTCTTTTTCTGTTGGGAAAGGCGGCAGCTCCACCCTCTTCCCCCCATCCCGCCTCCTCCTCCCCTCCCTCCCGCGCCCTCCTTCCCGCCCCCCCCCGGCCTCCAGCCTTGTGGATGCCATGGCAATGGACGCTCTAACAATCCGATCCTTGAATTAAACATGTGTTTCAAGTGTGTAGACGATGTTCTAAACATGTCACAGACATGTTTTTACATGTTTACAACGTGGTTGAAACATGTTGTAAACAGCTGGAAAATATTTGGCAGCATGCTCACTCTCCATTAATCGACTTCCACAACTCCAGCCTCAGGGCGAGCATGCTAGTGAAGCATGCTAACTCGTGATGTCGTTGGCTCAGGCTGCGTCCCAGGAGCTCCGGACTGTCCAGCGGCCCTCGTCTTCAGGAGCCCGCGCGGCGCAGCAGAAACCTCAGGAACTAAAGGGAATCCTGAAAATCTCTGGACGCATCATTTTAATGACTCTTTGCTCTTCAGCAGCCTCCCTCTTCCCTCCTCCTCCGGCGAAGGGCGGCCAAACGTGCTGCCCCGAGAAGGCTTGAACTGGGACACATCCGGCTGACGGACTTATTCTCGCCGAGGTGGGGACCAGTCTCTCTGAAGGAGGAGGCGGGAACTTCTCGTCGAGCCTTCTTGCCCGCTCCCCTTGGAGCATGCAGCAGCCGTCTTGGAATCACGGTCGCATGCAGCAGCCGTCTTGGAATCACTGCTTTATTCCGATTCCAGTTCCCATTCCTCCTCTTCCCCCCTTCTCCTCTGCCCCCCCCCTCCCTCCCCTCCTTCTTAGGCGAGGCCTTGGGCGCGCCACGCCCGCGGCGTCCGCCTCCTTCCCCCCTTCCCCTCCTCGTCCCCCCCCTCCTGCTCATCCTCGCCCCCTCCTGCTCCTCCCCCCGCCCCCCTCTCGGACCTAGGACCGTTGTAACCGCCGTCCTGGATCCAGGCAGAAAGACACACACAGACACACAGACACACACACACACACACTCACACACAAACACACACACACACACATACACACTCGCAAACTCACACACTCACGAGGTCGCACACACACACGCACTCTAACACACAGGCCCAGATTCACACACACACACACACTCACGCACTCACATAGAGCTACACACATACAAACTCTTTCTCACACACACACTCACACACATACTCACACACACACTCACCCACATACTCATACAGACCCACAAACCAACACACACACACACACCACATGCCACGTACCTCACACAACACACCACACAACGAGCAATCTACAGTTATACGCTCACGCGCGCACTCACACACATCAAACGTGCTCACACACAGAACCCCCCGAATACACACAAACACACACACACACCACACACACACGCCACACACGCCACACACAACACACACAACACACAACACACAACACACAACCCACACCCACACCCACACCCACACCCACACCCACACCCACACCCACACCCACACCCACACACCCACACACACAAACCACACATACACACCACACACACACCACATACACCACACACACCACACACACCACACACACACACCACACACACCACACACAGAGCACACACAGCACACACAACACACACACAAGACACACACACAAGACACACACAACACACACACACACACACTTTTGCATCGGCGGCTAGGTCAGAGACGTGGGCGCTGGCGATGGGAGGCCCAGACAAGGCTGCCGACACATACACGCACGCATTCACACACACACACGAAAACACACACACACACGCACGCACGCACACGCACGCACGCGCGCACGCACGCACGCACGCAAGCACGCACGCCCGCCCGCCCGCACACACGCCAACACACACCACACACAATACACATACACAACACACAACACACGCACACACATAACACACAACACACACCACACTCCACTCACATACACACACACACACCCACACAGACACCCACACACAGAGACATACACACACACGCACGCACACACGCGCACACACACACTTACACATTTACACGCACACGCACTTACGCACATACACATACACACACACTCGCACGCACACACACGTCACGCTCACACATTCACACACACACACGCACGCACACACACATACACACGCACGCCCGCACGCAAGCACGCACTCACGCACGCACGTACGCAAGGGCACGCACCACACACACACACACACACGCACACACCACACACACCACACACAACACACACACAACACACACACACATACACACGCACACACATAACACAATACACACACCACACACCACCCACACTACACGCACGCATAGGCACAAGCAGACATACACACGCGATCACACACACGCACGCGCACACTTACACACAGACGTGATCACAGACACAGACACAGACACACAACATACACACAACCACACACACACACGCACATGCAAACGCACACGCACACGCACAGCACACGCACACGCACACGCACACGCACACGCACACGCACACGCACACGCACACGCACACGCACACGCACACGCACACGCACACGCACACGCACACATACACGCACACGCGCACACGTCCACGCCCACTTGCACACTTACACACTTGGACACACACACACTTACACAATTAAGCAGTTACGCAATTACGCAATTACACAGCTACACACTTACACACAACTACACAAACGCACACGCACTCACACATACACATACACATGCACATACACATACACACATACCTACACCTAGACATAGGCATACACAACACACACACACTGTACACACCAGCACCACACACACCACTCTCTTTTTCCCAACCATCCTGTGGCGTTGGGTCCTCGTTTTGAAGAACGGTCCACGCGTTCTCCCCTCCTCCTCTGCCCCCTCCTCCTTGCTACCGTCCGCATGCGTCCTGCACACCCAGTACAGCGTTTCGTGGCCCTCTTCCCCCTCCTCCCTGCGTTTCACCCACCCAGTACAACGTTTCGTGGCCCCATAGGGAGCCCCACCGAAGGTCCCGGTGCTACCGTCCGCATGCGTCCCGCACACCCAGCACAGCGCTTCGTGGCCCCATAGGGAGCGCCACCGAAGGCCCCAGTGCTACCGTCCGCATGAACCCCGCACACCCAGTACAGCGTTTCGTGGCCATCTTCCCCCACCTCCCTGCGTTCCACCCACCCAGTACAACGTTTCGTGGCCCGATAGGGAGCTCCACCGAAGGTCCCAGTGCTACCGTCCGCATGCGTCCCGCACACCCAGTACAGCGTTTCGTGGCCCTCCTCCCCCTCTTCCCACCGTTTCACCCATCCAGTACAACGTTTCGTGGCCCCATAGGGAGCGCCACCGAAGGTCCCAGTGCTACCGTCCGCATGCGTCCCGCACACCCAGCACAGCGTTTCGTGGCCCCATACGGAGCTCCACCGAAGGTCCCAGCGCTACCGTCCGCATGCGTCCCGCACACCCAGTACAGCATTTCGTGGCCCTCCTCCCCCTCTTCCCACCGTTTCACCATCCAGTATAACGTTTCGTGGCCCCATATGGAGCCCCACCGAAGGTCCCAGTGCTACCGTCCGCATGCGTCCCGCACGCCCAGTACAGCGTTTCGTGGCCCCACTGGGAGCCCCACCGAAGGTCCCAGCGCTACCGTCCGCATGCGTCCCGCACACCCAGTACAGCGTTTCGTGGCCTCATACGGATCTCCACGGAAGGCCCCAGTGTCCCCGTCCGCATGCGTCCCGGAAGCCCCATTTGGCATTTTCACATACCCAGTGCAGCGTTTCGTGGCCCCTAGGGGGCTCCACCCAAGGCCCCAGTGCCACCGCGTCCGGGAAATGTAATTTGGCATTTTCACTCGCGCAGTGCAGCGTTTCGTGGCCCCATACGGGGGCTCCACCGAAGCCCCCAGTGGGACCGTCCGCATGCGTCCCGGAAACCAAATTTGGCACTTTCGCTAACTCAGTAGAGCGCTTCGTGGCTTCATAGGGAGCTCCACCGAAGCCTTCAGTGGGACCGTCCGCATGCGTCCTGGAAACCCAATTCGGCACACCACCCACATAGTACAGCGTTCCCCCCCGCCCAGTGCAGCGCTTCGTGGCCCCATAGGGAGCTTCACCGAAGCAGATATTCACAATTACGGTACCCACAACTGCATATGGTTGGGACCTTCGCCAGGAAACTTTTAATCGGCAGCGCTGGCGACGCAAGCGCGAGGAAAGGTACCGGCGGGAATCGCTGGACCACACACCAAACACACAAAGACCCTGGGCCCAGGATGGACTGCACATCGGGACCAATCGCTGGCTGCATGTACCGGCTACACGCAAGAAGGGACCCTGGGTAAGAGTGACCTTTGGTGCGCAGCTTTTTTGGGGCCGCGGGGAGACCAACCCTGGGCGCGCAAGCCGCTGCTACCGCTTCGTGTTCAGCCATCCGAGGGCCCATCTGTGCCCGCACCGAAGGTCACTCCGGCGAAAGGTCACTCCTACGTCCAGTCGAAATGTATACTCGGGCGCCGCCCGATCCTCCGAGCGGAGCGACTGGTCCGGCCTCGTGCCCTGGAATTCTTCGCGCTGCCGCAGGAGCCTGAGGTCGAACTGCTCCCGGCCCTTGCGCCCGCTTAGGCTCTCCCGCTTCTCCACCGCGTGGCAGAGGGCGAAGCCGCGGGGCGCCCCGGCCTTGGCGGGGGGCCCAGGCATCCGACGTCCTGGCCTTTTTTCACGATGTGGCCCCCTGGAGGTCTGGACCATTTCTTGAGGGGGTACAAGTCGGCCGCCGACCCATGCGACGGCGCGGGCAAAATGCACCACAACGCACAAATCACGACCGGAGCCCGGGATCCCAACGTTCTGGGTCACTTTTCGAGCCGGATGGATCTATGGGGGTCCCCGGGCCTGCAATCGGGCGAAAACGTCCAGTGTTCGGGGATGGACAGACCTCCCTTTGGTAAAACGTGGCTTAGTGGAAACGACTTCGGGCCCAGACCTGGCGGGCGCAGGCCTGTAAAGTAACGGCTGCGGCGCCCTCTCGAGAACCGAAAACGGACAATTCACTAGTCGACGTGGCAGGGCAGGAGGAGGAGGAGGAGGAGGAGGAGGAGGAGGAGGAGGAGGAGGAGGAGGAGGAGGAGGAGGAGGAGGAGGAGGAGGAGGAGGGGAGGAGGAGGAGGAGGAGGAGGAGGAGGAGGTCTATCCACCTCCGAAGTGTGGAGAAGAAACTGCACCGCCCGGACCTGGAAAAAAGGGGCCATTCGGGCTGGCCGCCTGGGCGCCCCGCTCGGGCCCCCTCCCAGCTCGCCTCTCTGGCCATCGCTCGGACGCCCAAAGGGTGTTCTTGTCGGCTTCGTGCGCGGCTTCTCGCCAAACGATCAGAAGGATGCTCCTCGAAGGTCCTCGCCGAAGGACAAAAACGCACACGTCCGAGCGAGGGCGAGCGCTGGGGACCCCGCGGCGCGCGCGGAGGGCTCGAGTCCGACCCCGCCCCGCACGGCCCCGATCGGCCGGCCACTCGGCGACGGCCGCGCCGAGGGCCCCCCCTGGAGGCCTCGGCGGGGCCTCCGGCAGCCCTCCGCGCAGATCCCCCTGCAGGCCCAGAGGTCCGGCGCCTCTCGGGCGTGGCGACGGAGGCTGTTCCCAGTGGTCTAAAACGACGCGAAGATCGGGGCAGAGTCGGATCGGGAGAACTCGAAATCTCTGAGAATTGGCGGGTTTGGAGGATGTATTGGGCGCCGCGGCCGCTCCAGAGCGTTCCGGAACGCTCTGAGAGCGCTCCAGAACGCTCTGGAGCGATTTATCCCGATCCTAGCCCTGTTTTACTCGGGGCCTCGGGGCTGTCAAGAACTCCTCGGGATGAAAGCCGGTCCCGGGGAAGGGGTCGAGGGGTCGGGGGGCCGCGTCCCGAAACAATCGAGGCGTCCGATGTCTGAACACAGTCGTGGCCGACCCGCATATCAGAGTCGAGCCGTCGGCTACACGCAAGAGGGAAGCTGGGAACGAATGGCCAACATGTTGGCTTGTGAAAGCAAGAAGAGCCACCACCACCACCAGAACTCCATAGAACTCCGTTCCCAAAGACCGCCCCGAGCTGGTGGCACTCCGTTCTGGGCACTCTCTGGAGACGCGCCCGGAACGGGGTGCCACCAGCTCGGGGGAGGGGGAACGGCCAGCCCCCCTAGCTGGTGGTGGTGGTTCTTTCTTCTCTGGTGAGGAGAAGGGCCTGTCCGACCCACATATCGGAATCGAGCCGTCGGCTACACGCAAGAGTGTGACCCTAAATAGGCAGGGATGATCTGTTGGTGCGGGCACGGGTGCAGGAGGGACCCATGTGGGCCTGCACTATAGGAGGTCACTCCAGGGAAAGGTCACTAGTACGCGAAGCCGGATCTGGGGAAGTCCAGGAAGGTACCAATACCGCGGCTCCTTGGACCTCTCACAGGGTGCGTTCTGACTAGGACCTCGAGGCGAATCCAGCGGTGGCGACGAGGGCCTCCCAAGAGGCGCAAAACGGCGAAGACGAAGGAAGGGTAGCGGCATGGGTGCCTCTTCCTGTGAGGATCGGGTCGGCCAGAACCGATCGCGACTCGGGCCGAAGCGGGGCAACGGCGGCGGCACCCCACGGCGGCGGGGCCCTCTCGGCGCCCGACGTGCGAGGGCGCCGCGCCCGCTGGCCGCGGCCGGCAGCGGCGCCCGGGGGGCGCGCGGCGGCCAGCGCCCGCCAGGGCGCGGAGCATGCGGCGGCGCCCCCCCCCCCCCCCCCGCGGGGCGCCCCCGCGGGGGCGGCGCGGGTCCCTGCGGGGCCTCCCTGCGGGGCTTCCCCGCGGGGCGCCCCTGCAGGGGCGGCGCGGGGCGCGGTCCCGCGGGCCAGGCCTGAGCCGCAGCGGGCCGCCGCGCGACCGCATCGGGTCGCAAGATCGGATCGCATCGGGCACAGGCCGGGTCGACCACGGACCGTTCCGCACCGCAGCGGGGCCCACAGGTCGGGCCCCGGGGCAGAGGGGGCGGCCCGCGGGGCGCCCCCCTGTGCCCGCGGGGGCGCTCGGGCCGCGGTCGGGGCGCGAGGCGGCCGAGGGCCGAGCCAGAGGTCGGGTCGGAGGCCTTTGGCCCTGGACGTGTTCCGGAAGGTGTGTGGCCATCGCTCGGACGCCCATTCCCCGTGCATGTTTTCGATGCCGTGCGCGCTTTTTCGTGATGTGGTCCAAGATGCTCCTCGATGGTTCTCGCCGAAGAGAAAAAATGCAAACGTCCGAGCGAGGCCAGGATGTCCGATGGCTCTTGTTTTATTGTTGCGGGCCACGGGTGCTTTTCCTGCTGCGCCTTGCCGAGGGCGTTCCAAGGGGACCGGGGGCGTCCCGAACGGTCGCCACAAGCCTGGGCTATAGCCCGAGAAAATTTAAAGAAGAAAACAACACATAAACGTAAACCTGTGGCGCTCCGCGCGGATTTCTTGGATCCGCGCCAAAACCCCCTCCCTGGCGAGCGGAGCGAGCCAGGGGCGGCGCCGGAGGCGCCGCCAGGGGGGCCCAGCGCGGATCCAAGGCATCCGCGCGGAACGCCAACAGTTTATGTGTACCGTAGCCAGTTTGCGAGACTCCGGGGAAGCCCGCCGCAGGCGCAGAACTTTCACAAATTATGCAACGAGCCCGCTGCAGGCGCTCATTCTTTCGTTGCACCAATGTGGGTCGGTCGCGGGTGTGTCGCTGTTGGGTCGCGGGTGGGTCGCGGGTGTAGAGGGCAGAAAATCCACCCCATAAGAATCACTCCGACAAGCGAAGCCGTTTAGTAAACGCACACAATGAAATCGAACATGGCAAAGCTGTTTAGTCAACGCCCAGGGCCGGTTAGGAAACGTCAGTTGTCGGGTCCAGATGGTTATTCCTTCCTCGAGGGTGGGTCGCGGGGTGGGTCGCGGGTGGGTCGCGGGGTGGGTCGCGGGTGGGTCGCGTATGGGTCGCAGATGGGTCGCGGAGTGGGTCGCGGGTGGGTCGCGGGTGGGTCGCGGGGTGGGTCGCGGGTGGGTCGCGGGTGAGTCGCGGGGTGGGTCGCGGGTTGGGTCGCGGGTGGGTCGCGGGTTGGTCGCGGGGTGGGTCGCGAAGTGTGTCGGGGTCGCGGGGTGGGTCGCGGGTGGGTCGCAGGTGGGACGACGACAACAAACAACAACACCACCACCACCACCACCACCAACAACAACACCAACAAAAACAGCAACATCAACAACACCACCACCAGCAACAGCACCAAAACCAACAACACCACCAACAACAACACCAACAACAGCAACATCAGCAACAACACCAACAAAGCCAACAACAACAACACCAACAACAACAGCAACAGCAACACCAACCATCATCTTAAGACTGTTCGCCTTTATCTGCTCGTGTGTCCAGTAACGCGTATTTCCCAAACGCTCGATACCCGCCCTCGTCGTCTTCGATCGAACCCCTTTTGGGGGTATACCTTTCTTTCCTGCAGGCCGGGCCCCGGCAAGCGGCGGGGCGGCCTCGGACCGTCGGCCTGGCCAGCGGCAGCGCTGATCGGCGGGGCGGCCGCTGACCGTCGACCCGACCCCAAGAGGGACGGACAGGGGACCGACCACCGTCGACGACGACGTCGACGACGACGGCAACGACGACGACGGCGACGACGAGCGAAAGCGAGAGCGAGAGAGAACGACAGCAGGGCCACAATGACACGAAGTAGGCCACGAAGGGCGACAGCGGGGACACGAAGGGAACGCGTATGGGGGCCACGAAAAGCGCGAACGAGCGGGGGCCACGAAGGGAAGATAATGCGGGGCCACAGAAGGCAGCGATTGGGCCACTGAGGGTAGCAACTGGGCCACGTAGGACAGTGAGGGGGCCACAAAGGGCGACAGCGGGGCCACGAAGGTCATGCACATGGGGCCACAACGGGCGCGAACGAGCGGGGGCCACGAAGGGCATACGTATACTGGGCGGCGGAGGGAAAGGACGGGGCCACTGAGGGCACCAACGGGGCCACGAAGTGCAGCGAGCAGGCCACGAAGGGCGACAGCGGGGCCACGAAGGGCATACATATATGGGGCCACGAAGGGCGCGAACGAGCGGGTGCCACGAAGGGCATACATATATGGGGCCACGAAGGGCGACAGCGGGGCCACGAAGGGATGCAACGGGGCCACGAAGGGCAGCGAGGGGGCCACGAAGGGCTGCAACGGGGCCACGAAGGGCCGAGACGGGGCCACGAAGGGCAGCGAGGGGGCCACGAGGGGCTGCAACGGGCACGAAACAAAGCGAGGGGGCCACGAAGGGCTGCAACGGGGCCAATAAGGGCAGCGAGGGGGCCACGAGGGGCTGCAACGGGGCCACGAAGGGCAGCGAGGGGCCACGAAGGGCTGCAACGGGGCCACGAAACAAAGCGAGGGGGCCACGAAGGGCTGCAACGGGGCCACGAAACAAAGCGAGATCCCGATTCCTAGGTAATCTGCGAGGGAGTCCTAAGCGTGAGCGCGACTCTTGGGTGCCTGGGTGTCGGGAGCGCGGCGCTGTAGTAAATTGCAAGAAATTCCAACGCAAGGGCGCCATTCTTCAGTAGATGGCAAGCAAGTCTCCAGCGAGAGCGCGACTCCAAAGCGCCGGGAGAGCGACTCCTGAATAAATGGTAAAGAAATCCGAAGCGAGAGCGCCATTCCTGAATAAAATGCGAGGAAGTCTCGGGCGGGAGCGGGGGTCCTGGCTAAATTGTGAAGAAGTCTCAGGCGGGAGCCGTTGTTGTTGTAATCCGGGGGCCCAGGGCCCAGTTTGAGCGTCAAGATTTTCTTTGAGTAAAAAACAAAGTGCGAGCGTCGAGGGGCACACATTGATGGAGAAAAACAATATGCACCGGTGGGGGGACCAACAATAATTACTTCAGAAATTGGAGTTCAACAACAACGACACCAACAACACCAACAACACCACCACCACCAACAACACCAAGAACAACACCACCAACAACAGCAACAGCAACAATAACACAACCAACACCACCAACACCAACAACACCAACAACACAAACAACAACAACACCACCACCAGCAACAACAGCAACAACACCAACAACAACACCAACAGCAACAGCAACACCACCAACAACAACAGCAACAACAAGAGCAACAACAACAACAACAACAACGACAACACCAACAATTATCTTAAGACTGTTCGCTTCTATCTGCTCACGCTCTAATCAATACGTATATCCCAAATCCTCGGTACCCGCCCTCGCCGTCTTCGATTGTGCTCCCTTGGGGGTCTATCTTCCTTACCTGCCACGTGTATTTAGTGCAGCCTATAAAATAAGGGAAGAGAGGACGGGTGGAATGGGGGAGGGGGAATAATGGAGCACGAGAGAAATAAGCAGGAGGGGGGCAAGGAGCAGAACACAAGTGGTAGAACCAGACGGGCAGATCGGGTGAGCAGACCCATAGCGGGCAGGTCGGGAAGGCGGGCCCAGGCGACGAGGTCGAGCAGGCGGGTTGCTGAAGCGTGGGTCCTGCATGATTCGCGACGAAGTCTCGAGCGATAGCGCGATTCCTAAGTAAATCGTGAGAAAAGCCAGCGTGGGGCACGAAGGGCATAAAATCCGAGGCCACAGAGGGCAGCGACAGGGCCGCTGAGGGCAGCACCAGGGCCACGAAGGGCAGCGAGGGGGCCACAAAGGGCGACAACGGGGCCACGAAAGGCATGTATATGGGGCCACGACGGGCGCGAGCGAGCGGGGGCCACGAAGGGCATTCGCATACGGGGCCACAAAGGGCGACAGCGGGGCCACTGAGGGCAGCAAAGGGGTCACGAAGGGCAGCGAGGGGGTCACGAAGGGCAACAGCGGGACTACGAAGGGAATGCGTATGGGGCCACGACGGGCGCGTGCGAGCGGGGGCCACGAAGGGCATATAGTGCGGGGCCACAAGGGCAGCGACGGAGCCGCTGAGGGCAGCAGAGGAGCCACGAAGGGCAGTGAGCGAAGGCGACCGCCGAACCAGTACGGGCAGCGAGGGGCATCGAAGGCGGGTAAAGGGCAGCGAGCGGCGACTGCAATCATTAACGGGCTGGTCTGGCGGGCAGGCGCCGACGGGCGGGTCGAGCGGGCGGGTCGTTGAAGCGTGAGTCCTGCTTGAACTGCCAAGCAATATGTAGCGGGAGCGCGATTCCTGAGCGTCGAGGACCGGCACCTGAACAAATTGAGGAAATATCAAAAGCGAAGCGGTTCGGTGGTAAGTTGCGAGAAAGTCCCAAGCGAGAATGCCATTCTGCAATACATTGTCAAGAAATATCCAGCGGGAGCCGCGATTCGGAGGTAAATTGCCAGGAAGTCCCCAACGAGTACGCGATTCTTCAATCAATGGTGAGGAAGTATCAAGCGGGAACCGTTGTTGTTGTTGTTGTAAACCGGGGGCCGACGACACAAATTGAGCCTCAAGACTTTCCGTGATAAAAAAAACAACAGGGTGAGAACCCACTTCTCTCGAACAAAACCATATGCACCAGGCGGGGGATCAACTGAAATTCTTTCTCAGAAATGAGAGTGCAACAACAACAACAATAACAACAAACTATTATCAACAACAAAAGCAGCAGCAACAACAACAACAAACACAACAATAACAACGAGAACAACGACGCAACAAGCATCATTCTCACCACAAAGTCCTTATTCAGCCACGCACCCAGGAACAATGAATGACCGTTCGGCCCCCTCACTCTGATGTGGCTTCATTCTTTTTCGAAGAATGGAAGGAAACAGTCCTCCACCGCGTTGGCCAGTCGACCTGAGGCGGGGGAGAGGGTCTAGCCGAGGGGGTGTTAGCGAATCTGCTCACACAACTGGTGCTCTTGGCGCCTTCCGGTGCCGGATGCACCAATGATGTACTCAGGGAGGGGGTGCCCGGCGGCAGGGCCAGAACCAGCCGCGCGCAGCAGATTCCGTCCCCCCCCCCCTTTCCCGCGATCCCACACTTATTTGACCAAATCACTGCGGCATCACCTCGCCGTTTTCAGCCTCTCGGCGCCGTCGCCGGGCCCTGGGGCCGTTGAAGCACGGTTCGGGATGAAGCGCCGGCCCTGAAGCAAGGGTCGGGAAGTCGGAGAAGGGCCCGAGGAAAGACTATGGTATGGCGACTCCGATCCCCGACCTTGGGGGGTTGTCGACTGGAGCAAACATGTTGTGCCCAACTCTGGGAGATACAACGGGGGGGCGTCCATCCTCGATAGGGGTGCGTCCGAATAGCCCACTGGGGGTGTATCCTAGAGTCCCCCTTTTTCCTGAACGGCCAAACTTCTCGGGCGCAGCTCGGGGATTTTTTGGGGAGCAATGTGTATAAATATGTGTAGATGTATATATATACACATATATAAACATATGTGTCTATACATGCATCTATTTATATGTATGTATGTATATATATATATATATATATATATCGATATGAAAACCATTGCGGTAGCCAGGCCCACTGTAGAATGGCCGGCGTCCTTGCGCCAGCATAGGGCGTGTGAACGGCGCTGCCTGGCTGGCAGGAGCCTTCTGGGAACCCGCCCCTTGGGCTCCCAGCCAGGGCAGGACGCCGGCGCGGGCCATAGGGTGGCATGAGGGCGGGCAGAAAGTTGGCAGACAGCCGCCAGGCTGTTGCTGTGGAGCGCGCCGGCGCAGCGCCACGGAACCGCCCCAGGAGGCACGCAGGCGCGACTCCTGCTATAGAGCTTTGGGAGGGCCGCTCCTGTCTGGGAGCACACAAGCGCAGCTCCTTTCAGGGAGCCTGGGGGTGCTGCTCCTGTCAGGGAGCACAGGAAGGAGCTCTGGTGGGCAGCGCTCCTGTCGAGGAGCGCACAGGCGCAGCTCCTTTTGGGCGCCGCCCCCTTCGGCGAACTTCTGTTCTGGGGGGCCGCTCCTGTCAGGGAGCTTTGAAGCGCCGCTCCTATCAGGGAGCTTTGAGGCGCCGCTCCCGTCAAGGAGTTTTCGGCCGCTGCTCCTGTCAGGGAACACGCGAAAGGGAGCTTTAGGGCGCCGCTCCTGTCGGGGAGAACGCAGGCGCAGCTCCTTTCAGGGAGCGCTAGGCGCCGCTGGCTCCTATCAGGGAGCACGCAGGCGCAGCTCCTTTCAGGGAGCTTCGGACGCGCCGCTCCTATCAGGGAGCCTGTCTTGTTTGTGCAGCCGCTGTCAGCGAGTTTTGTTTTGCCGCTGCTCGTATCAGCGAGCATTCTCGATCTGGCTTCAAGGAGCCAGCGCACGGGAGCAGCAACAGAAGAACTGCGAGACACGATCGGCCCAGCAGACGAGACCCGAGCAGCGCGGGCGAACCGCCATGCGAGACCGCACCAGAGTACACACGAACAGAGCAAGGTGAGCATACTTCCGCCGCTTCGCGCAGAAACCGCCGGCCGCCGACACCGCAGCCCGCTGCGCAGGCATTGAGCGTGCAGGAATTGAGGAGTGGAGGCAAACACACGTGGGGCTGCTCCTCACGGTTTTCCTGCAGCATAAACGAGTTTATGAATCATGAAAACCATTGCGGTAGCCAGGCCCACTGTAGAATGGCCGGCGTCCTTGCGCCAGCATAGGGCGTGTGAACGGCGCTGCCTGGCTGGCAGGAGCCTTCTGGGAACCCGCCCCTTGGGCTCCCAATGCACCAGAAGGCGACGGACTGCGCGGCAGCGCCTGACAGGGGTACATCGTGAGGACCGCTTCCTGTTCCTATTGGTTTTACAACCCCACGCACACGATGCCACAGTCAGGCTTGCTCGCCGTCACTTGAGTCGGAGTGGTCAACTAGCCATTCGGCCGCCGACAAAGCACCGCGACTTTGGGCGCTGACGTAACCGAAAGCCGCCACGCCCTTCCAACCACCACTAAAAAATAAAGCTGCGGGCCCTCCTTGTTGGAGCGCCTCGTCGGCAAAGCCTCGCCTGAAAGCGTGCGTGCCCCAGGCCGCAGCACTCCGCAACTGCAAAGCGGCTGCTGCAAGTTTGAGAACAGCAAGAGCGTCGGCATATTGCACGCTCGCGAAGGGGACCGACACTGCTGCTCCTACAGAGAATAATTCGCAGACGCCACACAAGGAGCGCCCTTGCAGCTGACAAATACAACGTCTGGTTGTCTCACGCGGTTCGTTGTAACATTTGCGACGCGCGAAACGAATGACACAGGTTTTGCGTTCATCGCCGCTGAAGCGGAATGTCACAACATTTGACCCGAGGAGCAGCAACTCAGAATAACGCAAACAAAATTGGCGAGCGATCACCCACGACGCCGCCAACAACGGATATCCAGCTTCAGCGCACCACTTGCGGATGAGTTTGGTTTCTTCCGCCGTCGCCCGGATCTTCACTCTCCTGAATACGTCTCGGGTAATTTTCTCGGCACCCCTGGCCAGCCTTTCTGTGTCGTCGAGAACACCGAGAGGGGCCTGCAATAGGTAGAGCACACTGCGAACATGAGAAACATATGTTTGCAAACTGTTCCCATTACGGAATAACCCCACAAAGGCATTGAGAACAGATTCGGACGGTGGCCAGCTGGGCGCCGAAATGGCCCTGGCAGCTTCGCCCCACAAGCGGACGGCGGAAGCGTATTGTGGAGCACTTTTTCGCCAGGCAGCGAACTCGACCCACAGAGTGTGGAGATGGAGGTGATCTCCGCCAGGAACATCGCGACGTGCACGTTTGACTTCTTCACGGGGCCTGCCAATTGGCTCCGCCCCTGGATAGCAATTGCAGCGGGCGGCGGCCGCCAGCGCGGCTGCCAGCACAGGGGGTTCGGGAACAACGCGAGCACGGCGCGATTCACCAAGCAAGATCAAGCCAGCACGACCTTGCTCGTCGTTGGCTGCCTCACGTGGATCGCTTTGGCTCGCAACTCGGGTTTGCGCCTCTGCCCCAGCCCCTGAAGAGGACGAGGCAGCCTCGGTCAGCGTTGCCTGTCGGCACGCCGCGGCCGCTAACTCCCGGTCGGCCTGGCGCTGACACTGCGCCAAGAAGGCTTTGACGAGCGCAACGTTCTGTCCAGAAAACGCAGGGACGAGATCTACCAATTCATTTGCTTCCAAACCGCCCAAATCAGACAAATGCTGGAAGCCACCGTTCTCCAGAGCTTCGCAAAGACCAGAGATATCAACCATATTCACGCCAGCCACGCCCTGCAGCACGCGAGCGAAAACCGAGTTCACATCGCTCGGCTGCCCTGGCGGGGCACCTTCAGCACGCAGACGTTTGCTTCGGCTCTCGTTTACAAAACTAAGCATTGAGCCGATGCTACGGAGAAGGCAAGACTGGCGCATGGCATTCTTCCTCCAATCAGAACCTGTGCACATGTTATTGTTTCACTTTTTTCTCAGCCGCCCCACGGTGCATCCGGCGGAAACAGCCACTCAACGCGTTGAAAATGTCGCGCCTGCAGCTCGGCAATTTGCTCTGCCTTCTCAGACGGCCGTGCGGGGGCATCTGCGAGATTCAAATGCGAAGGCACATACCAAAGATGCAGGAAATGCGCCTTGTCGGCGACGAGAAGCCACAGATTGCCAATCAGACAATTCCAATCGGACTTCCGCGAGCAACCTCGCACAAGCGCACCCAATGCGCTTTTGTTATCGACGAAGCAGATGATCTCGAGATCTGCTTGGCCAATGCTTAAAATCCACTTCAATGCGCAGATCGCTGCCATCAGCTCCCAGGTGCCGATCTGGTTCTTTCGCCAGTGTGCCCATTGGCGAGCGCTGTCGGGCACGCTGGTGGCGGCCCAGACTTTGGCGAAAGGAGCGTGCAGCACCCGCGCCATCATGCCAGTGCCGGTTGCGTCGCTGTACAAAATGCACCGCTGGCGCTCGCGGCGGAGTTGCAGCGGCACACGCCGCGAGGGTGGCGATTGCAAAAACTTACGCCACCATATGAGCGCGAGCCTCGTCCTCGCAGTGAGACGGCTGGTGCGGCTTGCGCCATGAAAGAACAAAGCTGCCAGCGGAGCACGCGCCCCCTTGCCAAAAACTGAGCTGGCACCCCAACTCAAACGCAAGGCCAGCTTCTGCGCTTCTGCCGGCGGCAACGCGCCCGCTTTGAGGGCCCTGACGATTTGGGAGCTCCACAACTCGAGCTTCTCCGGACCCACGTCAAAAACAATCTCTTGCCGGGCGTCATCAGAACGAACGCCGACGCCGAGAATGGTGGCCGATGGCTGTTCTGTGACAGCCTTGGCGGCATCCAAATCCCAGCCGAGAAGATCTGAAATTACGTACCTGGCCAGCTTGGCAGTGCCAGCAGGGCCCGTCAGAGGGTCTCCGCCAACATCTATTTGCTCTTCCATCGCGTCGCCCGAAAACAGATCGTCGACGAAGCGAAGGTACAGCACTAGGAAAATCTGCGCAAGCACGCCCTGAATTGCCAAACCGAACCGCTCCCAGGCGGACACGGAGGCGGAAGAGCCAAAGGGCATTGCCAGGAGCTGGAGACACTGGTCTTTAGCCAACGCCTCCTGCCACACGACAACTGCCAATGGAAGGTGAGAGCTGCATATTGGTAGTGTCTTGAAGGCTTGCACAAAATCATCTTTGCGCCAACGAATGCGCATTGTTCTTGATTTTGTGAGCTTCAACACCAGCGCTACAAGTGAGTCTAGCGTTTCGGGAAGCATCTTCTCGGATACTTGCGTGCCTTCATTGATACGCGACGCAGAAAAATCATCGATGCATCTAACTTTGGGAAACGTTTCCCAGCCTACGGTCTTCCAACCTTGCACGATTGGGAATCTCGGGGTTAAAACACAAGTTTCTATGTTCAACGGACGCATTCTAGCCTTGCCGTCCGCGACCTCCCGGTCGCATGCAGAAGCAAAAACTTCGCAGACAGATCTGTCCATCCCGAGTGGCAAAGACGATCGCCGCAAAATGCGTCTGTTCTGAACGCTCGCAGTGGCCAATAGAGCAGCTTTGGTTACCTCCGGCGCTGCGTTCCCTGTCGGAACGCGCATCCCACTCGCTGGGAGCAAGCCGACAAGAGGAAAACCGTGCATTAAATTGCTAATCAGCGTGGCGTCTGGCCAGCTGATGGACTCAAGCATCTCGCTAAGGAGAAAAAGATTTTTCCGGGGCCCTAACACACCTTGGCAGTGCGCTGGCAGCTGCGCGAACGCGCGTTGCCAGCAGGGCTCCGTCACTCGCTTCCTCTCCGACCAGTAAGCAAGCGCTGATTTTCGAGCCGAGTGCAATTCCGCAGGGGTCAATCTTGTCACGCGGTCGCAGCCTTTTTCCAAAAAGTGCGGCAAAAGAGGAACTTCTGCGCAAACAGGCAAGGCCGACGCCCACTCCAAGTGATCCCATGGATCTAGGCGATGCAAATCATCGCGAGCGAGAAAGCTATGTACACGCGCACCGACATGTGACAGCCCAGCTTTAGAATGCTTAAAATCAGCGCTGGGACGAGCCGAAGAGCGCTCCATGGGCTCATCGTCCCCTGACTCGCTTTCCGACTGCTGACCGTCGGCACTGTCAGCGAGCGGCGTGACCGCTCACTTGCTCCAGGACTGCTTGTCCCACTGGCCCGACTGCTGCCATCCAGCGCGCGGGCTGCGCGACCGATGCTGCTGGCCGCCACCAGCGCTGCCCTTGTGCCGCGCGGGCGGCGAACGCACGCGCCGGTTGTCGCCCTTAGCGCTCTTGCCGCCCTTGCCGCCAGAGGATGCGCTGCTGGCGGCATGACCGCCCCCGTCGCCGTAGCTCTTGGAGGCGCCCTTGGGCTGGCCCTTGGACTGACCCTTGGGCGCGCCAGATGCACGAGCGAGCTCTGCGAAGCGCTTATCCACTTTGTCTTTGGCCGTGCGCAGGAGATCAACATCGATCCTTGTAAGGTACCTGCTCAAATCGGTTTCGTCCCTCTCCAGCGCTTTGGCCATGGCCCCCCGCTGGAGGACGTCGTATTGAAACGCCGTCCTGACCCCGCCGTTCTCCTCAGCGATGCGGATCATAATATGCACGTAGGAGAAAAAGTCCGCCATGCTGCACGCCTTCGTGAGGATCACCTTGAAACCCCACTCGTGGAGATGCCCCATGAAGGTCGCGAAGCTCACGTAATCGATCTTATCGATCCAAGCGCTTCCGCGCTTGGCGGCCGCGCTCTGTCTCACGCGATCCTCGTAGGAGCCGTCGCCCACGACCGCGTCGACGAGAGGGGTGCGACTCCATGCTGGGCGGTGATGATCGCGGAGATCTTCGCCTTCTGCAGAGCCGATCCAAGCCCGGCCCTTGTCGTTGGCGATCTTGGCTCCGGCCTCGAACTTCGCCAAGATTTCCTCGGACGGGAGGGTGTCTTTATCGAAATTCTGCAAGCCCACTTCAACGATCCTGTCTTGAAGCTTGAAGCTGAGTCGCTTCGGCTTGCCCTTCTGGAGCGCCTGGGTCTGTAGTTCTGCAAGCTGTTTCACAGCTTCGGCCATTCCTGCCACGTCGCTCGACCCAGCGCCGGCTTCTGGGTTTTGGACGCTACCAAGTAACTCGTAGAGCTTCCCTTAGCAAGTTGCTGGAGGCTAAGAGTAATTCCGGCGCGCTGGAGAGCCAGTTGGCTCGGACAAAAAGAACTGAACTTTTCACAACTTTTGGTCGGTTGAAAATTTGGTTCTCGAAATTCGACCATTCGTTAGAGCTCTAGTATTTTTTCCCGTGATATTCGATCTTATTCCCGCTCGCCATCTCGATATCAGCTCGATCGGGTATCTTTTACTGCCAAAAAGCAAACTGGCGGGATCGGTCGTTTCGAATCATCTTGTCACGCGTTATCGGTTTTCTCAAGATAACTCGAGCTCTAGGACAGCTACAGAGCTGGGCAGCACAGCTAATCGATTCAGAATGATCAGGCGCGTTCGCCTGTTGAACCAAGAGGTCTGAACTCGGTCTGGTAGCTGAGGTAGGTCCACAAACTTATTCGTATTAGTCGAGTAATTGTAGCAGACGCTCTCGGTTTTCTGTACTTTCTCGAGCTGCAGGGCAGCTACAGAGCTCATAGTCACAGAAATCGATTGGGAATCCTTAGGCGTGTTCGTCTCTTGAATCGAGAGCTCTGAACTCGACCTGATGCCCGCGCTAGACCTCTGAAACTATTCGTATGGTTCGGGTAATCTTGAGGAGTGCTCTCGGTGTTCTGTACTGAACTCGTGCTTGAGCCGAGCGGGCGGGTGGTGCAGCTTGGGCGCACTTGGTCTGCACCTTGAGTGCGAAGACGACCTGTGCCGGCGAAACCTTCCAGGCTTTCCATGCTGGATCCTGCTCTGCGGCGCACGGCAAATCGTTCACAACAATCGCTGCCTTAATCATCTCGCGCATGAGTGGATCCTCGAAATCCGAAAGCGAGGTGCTGCCGATCGTTTCCGCCAAGAGGCGAGCCACCGACACGTAGTAGAACAGGTCGTGTTTCTCCGCCGCGTTGGGCTCGACATTCAGCACGAAGTCGACCCAATCGCGGATCTGGTCAGCGTTGGCCTTGTTAAAGGCCCCGCTCGGCGCAGTGGCAATCATGGCAGAGACGTCGCCGGAAGAGAAAGCCATGGTGGGCACGGCTGGATTGCAACGTACACCTGTGGAGCACGCTGCAGTGCGAAGAAGGATTTCAATCCCAGCAGGAGTGGTTCACTTGAGCCTAAAAGGCGACAGGTAATGACCAAACTCTCCAGCAATGGCCAGTCCTTCCGACTGAATATCTTCATGTGAAAGCACTTGCCAGAAATGGCTGCGCGCCCGCGGCGCACGTCACGTGACCGGCGCTGGAGGCGAGTTGCTGTTTAAGGAAAGAGCAGAAGAACCCTTCCGCCCCCTATCCCCCTCTGCGACCTGAATGCGCCATCCAGGCCAGCAGAGGGCGTCATAGGGGCGCGGCAGTACAGACAACAGGGAAACCCCACCATCGAACTGAGCATCTCCGCTCAGTATTTGCATCTGCGGCTGCACCCACATCAATCCGCGGGCACGCGGCGTCTGCTCCGACCTCTCTGGATCTTTATTTATTCCAGTTCACGCCCACAGCTGCGCCAACACATTCGCTGTCGAGTCAACGAGAGAGGATGGAGGGTAACTGATTGATGGATGGTAGAGCGCCCGTTTTGGGCGATGCTGTCCTCCTGGACGGTTCGCGGGAAGGCTTACGCACGTTCCCCGCTACTTGCAGCCCTCGGCGGTGGACTGCAGCTCAGCAGAATGGCTGATTAGAGCCAGTCTTGAGAAATCCGCCGACCTGGACGGCCGACTTGCGAAATCCGACATGGATGGAATCCCGCCGGAATCTGCATCAATTTCTAGCCTCCTGGGCCAGATTTCCACGAGCCGCACCAGAATTGAATTCTGAGTACGCTAGTGAAAAGGCGTCAGCATGGACTTTAGACCACGTGCGCCATTGGACGCAGGGTCTCGGGGTCGGTCGGGGGCGGGCAAACACACCCGCCCCCGTTGTGTGCAGGTGGGGGGTTAGCCAATGCCCCCCCATCAAGGACTAGCTTCTGCCGCCTGCACACATCCGACCCCGAAAACCCCAATTGTGCGAAGCACAACACTCGCGAGGCCCACATAGCACAAACTGCTATCCGCCTTCCATGCACTGACAGTTTCAGCGCTGAAATCTAGGCGCGGCCGGAATTCGCAGATTCTCGTTCCATGTGCAATTCACGGTGAGCGCACCGCCCCGCGGATCCGCGCACAGACTGCGCATCTGAGGACGGCATCACAGAATGCGCGACCTGCGCGTCAGAATGCGAATCTGGACCCGCCAGGGCCAGAAAGCGCGCAGTTGCGCTGCGAATGCAAGCCAGGCTGGCAGACAGCCGCCAGGCTGTTTCCAGAGCACGCAGGTGCTTTCAGGGAGCTTCGGAGGCGCCGCTCCTACCACGGGCCGCCGCGCAGGAGCGCTGAGTCGCGCTCACATTGCGAATCTGGGTGCGCCCTGGCATCAGAACGCAGAAACGAGCTCAGGATGCAATTCTGGGCGTGCGGGCGCCCAAGAGCGCCAAGTCGCGCTCAGATTGCGAAACAGGGTGCGCCTGGCACCAGAGCGCAGAAACAAGCACAGAATGCACTTCGGGGCACAGAAAGTTGGCAGACAGCCGCCAGGCTGTTGCTGCGGAGCGCGCCGGCGCAGCGCCACGGAACCGCCCCAGGAGGCACGCAGGCGCGACTCCTGCTATAGAGCTTTGGGGGGGGGCCGCTCCTGTCTGGGAGCACACAAGCGCAGCTCCTTTCAGGGAGCCTGGGGGTGCTGCTCCTGTCAGGGAGCACAGGAAGGAGCTCTGGTGGGCAGCGCTCCTGTCGAGGAGCGCACAGGCGCAGCTCCTTTCAGGGAGCATTGGGCGCCGCCCCCTTCGGCGAACTTCTGTTCTGGGGGGCCGCTCCTGTCAGGGAGCTTTGAAGCGCCGCTCCTACCAGGGAGCTTTGAGGCGCCGCTCCCGTCAAGGAGTTTTCGGCCGCTGCTCCTGTCTGGGAACACGCGAAAGGGAGTTTTAGGGCGCCGCTCCTGTCGGGGAGAACGCAGGCGCAGCTCCTTTCAGGGAGCGCTAGGCGCCGCTGGCTCCTATCAGGCAGGCGCAGCTCCTTTCAGGGAGCTTCGGACGCGCCGCTCCTATCAGGGAGCCTGTCTTGTTTGTGCAGCCGCTGTCAGCGAGTTTTGTTTTGCCGCTGCTCGTATCAGCGAGCATTCTCGATCTGGCTTCAAGGAGCCAGCGCACGGGAGCAGCAACAGAAGAACTGCGAGACACGATCGGCCCAGCAGACGAGACCCGAGCAGCGCGGGCGAACCGCCATGCGAGACCGCACCAGAGTACACACGAACAGAGCAAGGCGAGCATACTTCCGCCGCTTCGCGCAGAAACCGCCGGCCGCCGACACCGCAGCCCGCTGCGCAGGCATTGAGCGTGCAGGAATTGAGGAGTGGAGGCAAACACACGTGGGGCTGCTCCTCACGGTTTTCCTGCAGCATAAACGAGTTTATGAATCATAAAAAAAAAACAGATGTATACATGTAACGTTACCCTGTGCATGCCGATATACATATCTATAAACAAATCTACCGGCGTTTGAACATCATTTCTCGGGGGGCCGCGCGGATTTCTTGGATCGGCGCTGGGCCGCCCTCGCTGACGCGCGGAGCGCCGCAGCGGCGGCGCCGGAGGCGCCGCCAGGGGGACCCAGCGCAGACCCCAAAAGTCCACGCGGAGCTCCGAGAAACGATGCGTATCCCGCTTTTGGACCACCTACCAAACCACCCAAACCCAACCCGAAGAACCGAATGTTGCCCGAATTTCGGGTTGGTGTGTGTGTGTGTGTGTACGGGTTCCATGTATTTTTCCAGTGCTCCCCGACACCCCCCCAGTAGAAATGGAGGGCACATCGGGGCCTTCGGGTTGGGTTGGGGTGGTTTGGTGGACGGTGAGCGTTCGGTTATTCAAACATCGCCCTGGGGAAGGGGCCCGGATGAACAGCCGGGCCCCCCGCATCGAGCAACAGCAGGCGCCGAACCTCCCGGGGGCAAGGCGCGCACGGGCTGCGGGCCGACGGTCCCGTGGAGACGGTCGCGACGGGAGGTGGGAGCTCGCCGATGCGGCCTTTTCAATTCTAACAGCTGGTTTTTTTGAATTGAAAACCAGTTTCCGAATTCCCAAAAACCATTGATTTTTTGAGTTCAACAACCAATTCTTTGAATCCAAAAATTCAACTTTTGAGTTCAAGAGCTGGTTTTGTGAAATCAAAAACTTGTGTTGGGCCGAGGGTTCCTCCCCTGCGGGACCCTCCTGTTTTCGCCACTGCAACACCGGCAATTAAAGGCTGGACAACTGATGACAACCGCCACGACCACCACGCGTCTGAGCTTCGCGGGTCAACACAGAAACTTGGCGTGAAGCAGGCAGGGCGCGCAACCGCTGCCCTGCGGCACTCTCCTGGAGCAGACTGGCTGTGCGTACAGAAGCGTGTGGCAGCCCCCCCGCCCCACACACACACATGCAGTGCGCCGCTTCCTCTCGCATGAGTTGGGGCCATGCTTCCACGATGGGCAAATTGCCCACCATCACTACCATAGGCAGGACGGGGGAGAAGGGAGGACGGGGATGTCCGCCTCCTCCTCCTCCTCCTCCTCCTCCTCCTCCTGTTTCCTGTTGGCGGAAGAGTTGTACCGACGCAGCCCTCTCCTGCTCCTCCTCCTCCTCCTCCTCCTCCTCCTCCTTCTCCTCCTTTTCCTCCTCCTCCTCCTCCTCCTCCTCCTGGGGCGGCGCCATGAAAAGATCACGCCGTCGGGGGTCTGGGCCTCAGGGCCCCCGCCACCGGGGGGGACCAACGGGTGGCGATGCCGCCTCCTCCCCGGACCTCCCCCAGGGGTGCGGCCTGACCTGGATTCCGAGGCGAGCCCCGCGGTGGCGACGAGGGCCGCCCAGTAGGCCCCCAAAAAGGGGGGGAAGACGGAGGAGAGGCATCGCTGGGGGTACAGTAGGGGGCCGATCACAAGAAGCCTTCCACAAGAAGCCCATCCCTGAGACCCCAGGAGGTTCCTTGATCTTTTGGTGTGGGAGCGTTCCGCTGTCCCTTGCAAAACCATCGCAACCCAGGGAGCCCTGGGCACCCTGGAGGCAAGCAGGCTCCTCCTTGGCCTGGGCCCCCCCCTATGCCTTTCCCTCCTCGGAGCTGCCCCCAGACGCCCTCGCCCTGCGGGTGTCTCCTCGGCGGTCCCCGGCCCTCGCGGTGCGGATCCCTCGGCCGCGGCCCCCGTGGGCGCAGGGCGGCCCGGCGCGCATGCCCCCCCCGCGCGGCACGCCTCTGCGGGCTCGCGCGCCCAAGGCACCGGCAGAGCTTGCAGGTCCCCGCGCCGCTGGCTCTCGACGCGCCCGAATGGACAACGCCGACACCACGGCAAACCCACGGCAACCCTGCGCCCCGCGCCCCAGGCTCGGCGGCGAGCGAGGGGGGGAAGTGAAAAGGGGCGGGCCTTCACAAAGGTCACCAGGCCTTCTGAGAAGCTTTCTAGGCCGTCCCCGAAGCCACAACAAGACTTTTCAGGCGCGAGGGCTTCTGAGGAGTCCCGCCGCCTTCCGAGAAGGCCTCCTTCTTTTCATTTCCCCTCCTCGCTTGCCGCCGACAGGCAGCTGACGACGGTATCGTGGCAAACCCCACGGCAAACCCCACGGTGGCCGCGGCGCCCTCTCAAAGACGAAAGGCCACGCGTCGGAACAAACGGCGCGCCGACATAGCAAGGATGCGCGATAAGGATGCAAGCCCCTTGGACGCCAATGGTAAAGCTTTTTCGGGCGGGGCGGGCCATCGAACATAGTCAAGGATGGACCAAAGAGGCACGGATACAATGGTACACTTTGGAAATGTACACATCCTTACCAACCACACCGCGACAGCACGGATGCGGGCATGTTCGTCGCCCGCGGGTGAAATTGAAGTAGGGTGGCGGTTTGGCGAGGGAGTGTCAGGCGGCTCTACTGCGGGTAATCAAGGCTGCGCCCATCGGGGCAGGACCGACAGGGCCGTGGCCCATCGAAGAAGATGGTGCCGTGCAGTAAGACCGC